CAACTAATAATAATAATAATAATACATTTTATTTAAAGGCGCCTCTCTGGGCACTCGAGGACACCGTACAACACATAAAAAATAAAAACAGTAAGAAATAAGAAACAGATAAGAAAAGACAATGTAGATAGTTAAGTGGCTCATGCAGTTCTGAATAGGTGAATTTTTAGTCTTGATTTGAAGTATGTGAGAGAGTCCAGGTTCCTGAGGTCCGGTGGGAGTGAGTTCCAGAGTCGGGGGGCAGATTGGCTGAAAGCCCTGCTCCCCATGGTGACGAGGCGGGTGGGAGGGACAGAGAAGTGGACAGAGGAGGCAGATCTGAGGGAACGGGAAGGAGTGGCGAGGTGGAGGAGTTCGGACAGATAAGGAGGGGAAAGGTTGTGGATGGCCTTGAACGTGAACAGGAGGATTTTGAAGTCTATGCGGAGTTTGACCGGGAGCCAGTGGAGTTGCTACAGAACAGGGGTGATGTGGTGGATGGAGGGGGTTCTGGTGATGATCCGAGCTGCAGAGTTCTGAACCAGTTGAAGTTTATGGAGGTATTTGTGAGGTAGGCCGAAGAGAAGGGAGTTGCAGTAGTCGATGCAGGAGGTGAAAAGGCTGTGTACAAGAATGGCAGTGGAGTGGGGAGAAAGGGAGGGGCGGAGCCGATTAATATTGCGAAGGTGGAAATATGCAGACCGGGTGATGTTATTGATATGGGATTGGAAAGATAATGTGCTGTCAAGGATGACACCCAGACTCTTAACCTGGGGGGAGGGGGAGACAGAGGAGTGGTCGATGGTGAGGGAAAAACTGTCAGCTTTTGAGAGGGTTGATTTAGTGCCAACAACTGTTGATTATTGACGAGCTGATGAAGGTCTGAGATCTTGTAAAGAGAATCTGAAACTGCAGTTGCCCAAACCTTTAATTTATTTCTGTTCAGTTTATGAAATAAACAAATATTGATCAACGGGTGGCTGCTGCATACAACTGAACCATAAACCCACCAGATCCTTAAAATAGACTCTCAGCAGTAGTTTGGACCAGTCATTGGGAGTGAGAATGTAAACACTACAGCCAGCAGCTTGTTAGCTTAGCTTAGCATAGAGACTAGAAACAGGGGGAAACTGCTAGCCAAAACATAACCACCCCTAACACAGCGATTTTTCATCCTCATACTTCAGTTTTTGTACTGATTAGTTCTGTGTTGACGTGGTTTATATTGATAATAATGATAATATTGATAAATACACACACAACCTATGTTGGCAGGTAATATTCTGACTGCACTAACTGCTGATGGCGTGGGAGGAATTAGGATCTAATGAAGGTCCCGGCGGGTTAATCTGGTCATCATAAAGCCAAACTCTTCCTCCATGTTCCCGTCTTATAGCTCCGCTCTGATTGAATGGGTCTGCTGCCCACGCTGCCCGTCACGGCCCAGTGTTCTTTCCTGCCGTCTTTATGCCCAGAAAACATCCATTTCTATAAATCATTTGTCAGAAACGAGGGGACAGAAGGTGTCAGAGAGCACGTGGAGGGAAGAGGACGCCGTTTATGAGCGCCGGCCCCTGAAGGCAGATCCAAGGTGACTCTGAGCTCCTCTCACGACGCTGGAAATATGTTTTTGAGGAGAAGAAAAGGGGCAGAAATTTATGTTACAACAGAAACAGTGGCAACAGGATTACTGAGGCTTTTCTATGTGTGCAGGAGGATTTAGATTCCACACAGCAAAATCAGATTTGGCTGCTTCTCATTAAGCTGCTCGCTGTCAAAACAAGTATGAAGAAAAAAACCACAAAGAACAAAGGTTTCATATTTTATTTGAAGTCCAAACCTTCATTTTAACAGAACTGTTACAACAAACGCAGTTTTATATCCTCGTCAACATCTTTGTTTGATACGACAGAGTGAACGCCGTCATTAGAGGAACACCGTCAGTACCCGTCTGATTCCAACCTCCATCCTCTGATCTGCATTTTGTTCGTCTGTATGATCCCACAGTGAAACTGTCAGCTCTGTAAACGTCTCTTCATCGTCTCTGACAGCTTAAAGGAGCAGTTACAGGTTTCCCTCCACACAAACAGGGAAGTGTGCGACTAGTCTGTTAAATTATATTTTATATTAACGAACAATGCTGGTTTAATGAGGTCTTTACTACCCCAGCAGGCAGCAGCCCCTGCATCAATGCCCCCCCGTCCCTCCACCAGTGCCCCCACTGGTTTTAAGAGTCCTCTTTGCCCCCCTTTAGAAGTTCTAGTCCAACATTTGGTTCCTTCTTTGGGACTCTAGCAGCTGGTTTCCTTCCATTGAACCTCACACAGCTCATCTAGAGATTGATCGGGGACAGACTGAGAGAAACTGTAAATGTTCCAGCTGGAGTTAAACAGAGATATAGTAAGTTAGCCTTGTATCTGCTGACTGACAGTTAGCTAACATAGCTTTACCTTACCTGCCCCCTCAAAGCTGTAACGGCCGTCAGCTACGTTCTGTGGTTCCCATCACAGAGTGAATCCAATCCTCAGATCAGGTTATCAATAACCATCAATTAATGAGAGTGATCACTCTCTTCGTCTAATAGCATCAACAACATCTTCATTTCTTCACAATCAATCATATGTTGTATATTTCTGTAGCATCCCAACGTGTTTACTGACATTTAAATGTGATAATGGAACAAATTGCCTGAGGCTAAGGTGTGCAACAGGATATAGCAGCTAGCTAAAGGAGGGAAGACTGACTGTTTAAACTTTAAACTGATCAATTTAACTGTTTAATTACTTTTAGACGAGTCTAAATTAAAAATGTCTGGGTAAAGTTAAAGCGTGGAACAGACACGCTGATCCTCGGCTATCAGGGTCAGTGTTCTTCCTTACCGATATATAATAATGAACAGAAACCAGCATTAGTTTAAAGGGCGACACAGGGAGGATTTCTCTCTTTGTCCGTGTACTGCGGCTCTATAACAAATAAAGTTACCACTGAACCTCGAGACTACTGAGTCTGTTATTTCCAATCCTGTGAGTGAAGATCGTGACTAAGCTAACGTGGAGTGTCCCATAAACACTGACTAGCACTGTGTTGTGCTGTCCTGTACGTCAGAGAAAAAGTTCTGGAAAATGATTTGTTAAAGAGTCCAGTACCCTAATTCTCATTTACTTAGCATTAAGTTAGCTGTGTTTACAGAGACACAGTTACACACTAGCTTAGGAGTACAGAGCTGCCAACTCTCACGCTTTCGCCTAGTGTCACACGGTTTTGCCTGTTTTCACTTGCACTCGCGCCACACATCCAATTTCTCATGCAAAAAAATCCGATCTTGGGCCTTTTCGGTCCCCTGCAGCTTTTATCGTCCAAAAACAATGTTACGCTATAGTAAACAGAGACTCGTCAAGCACTAGGACCAGGGGAAAACGGCCCCTCAGCTGAAGCCTGTTACCCTTAGTTTAGACCGCCCACAAGCTCCTCGATTGGCTCTGCCGTTCCTTGTTCAAATCTTAAACACTGGTCTATGAATAAGGCTTTATTGTGATACAGGCAGTCATTTAGGCACAACAATAGTTTTCTGTTTGAATGTTCAGCTCAAGTCTAGAAGGCCCTACAAGTCATGATGCCGAACATGAATCAGAATAAGTTCAGGTATTGTACATCTTTAGCAGACCACCCAAAAATCCACTAGAATGCAGGAAATCACATCTACTTAATCCAAAATTCCCTGGGGGTGGACCTTCAGCTATGTCTGCTTCTCAGAATGTAACCAATATTTTCCATCTCCAGTAAGCTGCCCCTATCAGCGGCTTTGGGCCTCCCCACAAACCACCAGAATGCAGGGTACAACATGGGTACAACATCAAATGAATTCCAATTCTCTGATATCTGAACCACCAACTTGTGCGGCTGTGTGCGTGGCATAATTTTGGTCACCCCCGACAAAATCTCACTCCAAGGTTTTTTGAAAAGTTCGCAGGTATGGGAGTATTTCACCATTATCGCTGTACTGAGGTCTGAACTGAACTTCCTTGGAGGGTTTTGGGGCATTAAATTAGTTATGTTTAGGTAATTATTCTTGACTTTTATTGTACAACCCTCAGTAGAAAGAGTGAAATCAGACCTCTGTGACCTCAGTGGAGGGTACGGCCATGCTCACCAGGAGTGGTGGCACTCAATAAGAAGTAAGAGTCCTCATGTGGGCAAAAATCTGAAGTGCTGGTACTCAGAACTGGTGAGTGTCAATTCAAGCTTCTAACAAACAGTAAGGACCAAATACAGACACTCTGCTGTCCGTCTGTTTAGACATCAGTAAAATGAAATTCTCATCCCAAAGACAAATGCATGTTTGTCAAAGACAAATACCGACGTATGAGGACACATAAAAGATCCTTGTTCATTGAAAGGAAGTTAAATATAACCCCTGCAGGAACCAGGTTGTGCAATATGTTCAAGTTTTCTAACTGGCCACCGTCAGTCCAAGTTCACTACCTGTAATGAGCTCTAACAGCTTTAATCAAGAAAATAAACTCAACAAATGTCAAGAAAGTTCAACCAAAACATCTGTTTACTGCAATAAACAGGAAATACAACTGTACAACATTCAAGTTTCTCTCTTATGCCAAACTTTCCTGGTCTGGTCCACAGTGAGAGTCCTAGTTGGAGCCTCAGTGAATCACCTTGTTACTGTGTTTAATGTCGTCAGACTCTTAATTCACTGCAGTTAGATGTGAAAATACTCTGTGTCACTGAGCAGCTTTGAACCTTCACAGTAAGAACATTAAATCAGCAAAATAAAAGTATAAAAATGATCCCAAAAAAAACCCAACAGTGATGGAATCAATCAATCGCAGATTTATTGGTCCAATCACTCGACTCCAGTAAGAACTAATACAGTAGTGCTGATTTATAATCATCGTCTATAGTTTTAATCACAGGAGACCGAGATGATACCAATGGTAAGAAGTATTGTAGCAGCCGACCAAAGAAAGAAAGTGAAATAAAACCGTATGAACAAACGCTGGACGTACCGTTGATGGTGGCTCTCTTTGGCAGTATGGTGACAGCTCCGATCGCAGCGTCCTCCAGCTGGTGGATGGGACTGTTCTTGGCCCCCCAGCTGTCGGAACCGATCCACATGAAGTGACCAACCTGCTCCGCTCGCTTACTGGCATTCAGGATCCCCCTGAAAAAATTTACCCAAACAAAAGAAGATATATTTCTGACCCAGTGTTCGACGGAAGTTTGTCCATTATCAATATTGTTATACATAAACTCAATCAGAAATCAATAAGAGAACTGATAAATAATTGGACCAATAAGCAGAATGGATGATGGCACCAATACATTTTAATCAATTCCCATCATGTTTGTGTCCCTGTGTTTTATCTGGAAGATGAAATGACTGAACATGGTAAACAAAAACAATGTAAAAGTCATCTGTCCTGTTATTAATGGTTATACACACACTTGCCACTAGATGTCACACTAGAGCACCAAAAACAGAAACTATGGACGGGAATTGATTTTATTGATACCAATGCCTTCATTCTGCTTATCGGTCCAGTTCTTTATCAATTAATTGATTCCTGAATATTCCTGAACAGAATATTTACCCTCAGTCAGGAACAGGTCTGCACAATTAATTGAAATATTATCAAAATTGCAATATGACCAATATCCAAATATATTGTTTGAAAATGTACAAACAGCATTATAATGAAGCACTGTAATATTGTTCTCCAGATTTAAGAAAACAGACCAACAAATTATGATTTAGATTTTTTTCAGAGAGATGATCATTACATCACATTGTGTGATTTGTATATTTTATGCACCAATGCACCAAGTCACATTCCTTGTAGGTGTAAAAACCTACTTTGCTATAAACAATTCTGATTACCAGTGAATCATATGGAAATATCATGTTTTTACTGCATCATGAAGCTCCAGTTGGAAAACAAACAAACTGGTGTCAAACACATTTAAATCCTGTAATTTAAGCTCTTGTAGTTTCAGTTTATTGTTGGTGTTTCCACTCTGACTTTATATTTTATAGATATTATAACGAGCGCTGTCTCTCTTCTTCCTCTCTGCAATGTGTCCTTCTTGTTGTGAGTTTCCAGCAGCGTATTTCCTAATGTGCTTGTATTTATAGAAGGTATTGATCAAAAGGTATTGTTGGGCTCTGAGCATTCTGATGAATCTGACAATTTCCATTCCCATCCCTAAACAAGATAAAACTCACTTAAACCGTCTTTTATATCCAACAATCACCAACTCTGGTTTGATGGAAATAAATCCTTAATTCACAGACATAGCTGATAAAAACAGCAGTTTCTGTGTCTCTGCTCGCTCTGTGCTTAGGACACTGCAACTGTATCTTTAGATTGCTGCTATATTAATGTTTTAAATCTCATATATAGAAATACCATTACAGAGGCAAACAGTTGTGTTCCAGCATCCATTCAATTAACCTGTATATCTTTCATTATAGCTGACCGTAAAAGGAGATCAAGGGTATTATTCACCTGATATCTTCATCGGAGGCAAAGAGGATGACTGCCCTGGCGTAGCGAGTGTCCAGCAGCAGACGGATGATTTTATCGAAGTCGGAGGGTTTGTGGTCGTGAGGGATCTTCAGTGACTGAGCGATACAGATTCCACCTGCAGACACACAAAGCAAAGGCCCACATTAACACAGGAATCACACCCCGGCTCCTTCAAACAAAGTCCAGAAGTAAAAGTTACTGCAGACCCTAAAAGAACGGAGGCAAGCAGAAGAAATAGAGCTCCACTCTCTAGGCTGTCTGACGTTTCATTAAACACTTTAAAGTGTTGAGGAGAAAGGCTGAAAGAGCTCCTGGAGGAGACATTGCTCCTCTCAATAAACGTCACTCAGCTGTATAACAAAGACGCATTCTTTATTTTACTTTTCTTTGCTCATTCAGTCACATTCTTCCACTGAGCCATGACTCAAATCAATCTCACAATATAACGTTTGTGATGAGAATGATTCACTCAATGTTTGAACTCTGATTACAGCAGAAACTCATCAGTCACAAACCTGCAGGAAACGCTGTGATCAGAGTACACAACTGTTTCTGTGGATCACAGGTAGAAACACTGTGGAATGATTTATCTTTTGATGCCAATGTTTCCAACATTTATACTACATTCTTGTATATTTAGGTTCCTGAAATAATTAATAGACTAAAAGTTCTTCTTCTGATGCTGTCATTGGAAAATAGATCTGGTCTGTTTCAGAATCAGAACTATATTGATCCCTGAGGAGACATTTGTTGGTTACAGTTCCTCAAAGAAATAATAATAATAATAATAATAATAATGTTAAAAAATATATGCATATATATGCACAATAACTAACAATATAATTAAAATACAATGTATGACAACATATAGAAGATAATACGACATGGGAATTACAGTGGTGATAATAATAATAATAATAATAATAATGAGTACTGATAATGTGAATATTTAAAGAGCAACTAAACCCCAAAACCCACAATTGAACTGAAAGGTATTGATTGTATATTTTTGTACGCCTGCAGTGAGACACGGTGTAATTCAAACACTGATCCTGTTACATTAAAATAAACATTATAATCTACAGAACTTCTACTTTCAGATTGGGATTAAATGTGATTCCTCCAGCGTTTCACATCCAAACGTTCCTGCCAATCACTCTAACAGCTGCTGATATTTCAGACACAAACATTTTGCCATTTGAAAATGTCGTCTAACCGACGCCGGTCGTTTAAATCTCGTGACCGCTTCACAAAGATTAGCTCGCTCGTTCACTCAGATCAGGATTCGGGCCCACGTCCCCCTGCAGTGACATTTGGTTCACGCGGGATCTTACGGAGAGTGGTGTGAGGACTTTGCAAAGAGTTTGGCCTTTAAGAGCGGCGGCCATCACCGATGAGAGACAAGCAACGCCAGCGGGTTTGAGGGTTTTCAGTCCTCCTAGAATCACAAATTAGATGAGATATTGTGCCACTTCCAAAGGGCACCTCAGGCCAGCTGGGGCAGATCCACAGACTGAGACACTTAACATATTCTTTATTCAGGATATCAATGTTAATCACTCTGGTCCTAAATGGAAATAAACCACTTCAACCCACAAACTCTTTGATGTTTGGATCATTACAAATTCCTGTGGTGCAGATAAACAGTGTTCAGAACAGAACCTGCATTAAAGAGACTGACAGTAGTAACACTGATTATAAGGCTGGCCCGTGTGGTCCGATCCAAAGGATGAGCTACTGTAGCTCAAACTGCTCAAACAGTTAATGCTGGTTCTGATAGAGAGGGGTCAGAACTTACAGTGTTCTTGTTCTTGTACTTGCCTTTTCTTTGTGTTTTCCCTCCTGACCTCCAGCTCTGCGCCACACACCTTTCTGAAATCAACTAATCAACTCTCCCAGTCTGCTCACCTACTTTCAATCAACTCATCTACCCCACAGTATAACTACCACACAGTATATCTACCTCAGTGCTCCATCTACTCGGGGTCAGATCATTCAGTCTTCAGGCTTTCATGGAAGTTGCACCTCACCTGTTTGTTTGTGTCTGCCAACCAACCAACCAACCAACCAACCAACCACCTCCTGTTCCTGCTGCAGAGCGGAAATCTTATCTTGGGACACACTGAACAACAGCTTACACATTTATTGTCCTACACAGAAATATAAATGTAAAGAGACAGTTTTAAGAAATCCTTTTCCAGTTTTCCACAGTTTTCCGAACAGTAGTTGCTCACAATAGTGGTCGACTTTATGGGAACCAACAAACAGAATACACACATTACGTAATCTGAGCGAGGAGCTGAAATACATTAAATAATATAAACAAAAAAGACTCCAGGAAACATAGATAAGACAAAGCTGGTTAAGAAGAGATAAGATGTTCCTTTATTGATCCCTGTGGGAAAAAATTAAGATTGACACAGCAGCAAAGGGGAATGTAGTATAAACAGTAGAGAAGAGTACAAATAAGATAAAGAATTATATATACACTACCAGTCGAAAGTTTGGACACACCTTCTCATTTAATGGTTTTTCTTTATTTTCATGACTATTTACATTGTAGATTCTCACTGAAGGCATAATGAACACATATGGAATTATGTAGTAAACCAAAAAGTGTGAAATAACTCTAAATGTGTTTCATATTTTAGATTCCTCAAAGTAGCAACCCTTTGCTTTGTTGACAGTGCTGCAAACCCTTGGCCTTCTCTCAATGAGCTTCATGATGTAGTCACCTGAAATGGTTTTCACTTCACAGGTGTGCCTTGTCAGGGTTCATTTGTGGAATTTCTTGCCTTCTGTGTTGTGCAGAAGTCAGGTTGGTACACAGCTGACAGCCCTATTTGACAACTGTTAGAATTCATATTATGGCAAGAACCAATCAGCTAAGTAAAGAGAAACGACAGTCCATCATTTACCTTAAGAACTGAAGGTCAGTCAGTCCGGAAAATTGCAAAAACTTTGACTGTGTCCCCAAGTGCAGTCGCAAAAACCATCAAGTGCTATGATGAAACTGGCTCACATGAGGACCGCCCCAGGAAAGGAAGACCAAGAGTTACCTCTGCTGCTGAGGATAAGTTCATCCGAGTCACCAGCCTCAGAAATCGCAAGTTAACAGCACCTCAGATTAGAGCCCAGATGAATGCCACACAGAGTTCTAGTAGCAGACACATCTCTACATCAACTGTTCAGAGGAGACTGCGCGAATCAGGCCTTTATGGTCAAATAGCTGGTAAAAAAACTCTAAGGACAACTAACACAAGGAATGGACATTAGACCAGTGGAAATCTGTGCTTTGGTCTGATGAGTCCAAATTTGAGATCTTTGGTTCCACCTGCCATGTCTTTGTGCGACGCAGAAAAGGTGAACGGATGGTCTCTACATGCATGGTTCCCACCGTGAAGCATGGAGGAGGAGGTGTGATGGTGTGGGGGTGCTTTGCTGGTGACACTGTTGGGGATTTATTCAAAATTGAAGGCACACTGAACCAGCATGGCTACCACAGCATCCTGCAGCATCATGCCATCCCATCCGCTTCGCATTTAGTTGGACCATCATTTATTTTTCAACAGGACAATGACCCCAAACACACCTCCAGGCTGTGCAAGGGCTATTTGACCAAGAAGGAGAGTGATGGAGTGCTGCGCCAGATGATCTGACCTCCACAGTCACCTAACCTAAACCCAATCGAGATGGTTTGGGATGAGATGGACCGCAGAGTGAAAGCAAAAGGGCCAACAAGTGCTCAGCATCTCTGGGAACTCCTTCAAGACTGCAAAGCAGTAATCAAAGCAAAGGGTGGCCATTATAAAGAATCTAAAATATAAAACATGTTTTGAGTTATTTCACACTTTTTTGTTTACTACATAATTCCATATGTGTTCAGTCATAGTTTTGATGCCTTCAGTGAGAATCTACAATGTAAATAGTCATGAAAATAAAGAGAAACCATTAAATGAGAAGGTGTGTCCACACTCTTGACTGGTAGAGTGTGTGTGTGTGTGTGTACGTACGTACGTACATACATACATACATACATACATACATACTAATTAAAATAAATTTAAAAAAACACTATGCAATAAAGGTGTTTGTGTTCAACAGTTTTAATCAGTGAAGGTTGGAGGTACTGGGAGCTGTGGTTCTAGAGGTTGGAGGTACTGGGAGCTGTGGTTGTGGAGGTACTGGGAGCTGTGGTTGTAGAGGTACTGGGTGCTTTGAGGCTCGGTTCTGGATCAGTCTGTGGCTGAAAGCTCCTGAGCTGCCTCAGCTCAGTGTAGAGAGGATGATGGTTGTCCATGATGACTTTGAGCTTCCCTCTCATCCTCTTCTCAGTCACAGCCTCCACACTGTCCAGCTCCATCCCCACCACCGAGCTGGCCTTGTTCACCAGCTTAGATAAACAGATACTTTATTTATCCCGAGGGAAATTCAAGTGTCTAGTAGCATACAAAATACAAAACATACATTAAACATACATTAAAGTTAAAATCCCTAACCTTAAGAATAGAATTAAAAATAAAATAGAAGGTGAAATATATATATATATGTATGTAAAATTAACAGTAGCTACAGTAAACAGTGCAAACAGTAAGCAGTGCAAATGGATGTGCAAATACAGGTAGAAATTGTCTATTATCTATTCAATTCAATTCAATTCAATTTTATTTGTATAGCGCCAATTCATAACAGAAGTTATCTCAGGACACTTTTCAAATAGAGCAGGTCTAGACCGAACTCTTTAAAACATTTTAAAGGCCTCCCTGCCTTTACTGAGACCTCTTGTACAGTCTGATGGCCAGGGGGACGATTGGGACAGCAGTCTGCCACTGAACACACTCCTCTGCCTGGTGAAGGTGTTGTGCAGAGGGTGGTGGGTGTTGTCCAGTACGGACAGCAGTTTGTCCAGGGTCCTTCTCTCTGCCACTGTCACCAGAGAGTCCAGCTCTGTGCCCACCACTGAGCCAGCTCTCCTCACCAGTCTGTCCAGTCGACCGGCGTCTCTCTTCTTGCTGCTTCCTCCCCAGCAAACCACAGCATAAAAGAGGATGCTGGCCACCACAGACTGGTAAAACATCTGCAGTAGTTTTTTGCAGATGTTGAAGGACCCCAGCC